AGTCAGGCATTTTATTAAGAAATAATAGCCATCCACTTAAACTGAATTACAGCAGGAAAAGTGTATTTGTAAAGAAGTGTTCTTAATTGAAACAAATGAACTAGGGTGAGAAAGTTCCAGCACACATTTTCTAACCATTCTTAGAAATTCTTAAAATTCTGAAAATCTAATGGATTCTATTCTTCTAATCTCTATCACCAGAAAATTACAGACCTACGGCATGTTTTAGTATCTTCCTACACAATTGTGAGAATATTATTTTAATAATGACAGAAAAAAATTGCTGAGTGGGCCTTTGGTACAATTGCTCTACTCCCACAAAGATGCCAAACAGCAGGCATGGCCTGGGGCATTACACAGAAGAGCAGAGTCGCCAGCCCGATAGAATGTACCTCTGCAAGACTGCAGATCACTCGCATTCAGAGACCCAGCAGGGGAGAAGGGCTCACCTCCATAAGTCCAGCATGTGGGTTGGAAAAATGAGGAAAACAGTTATTCGTAACCAGACTATTGTATTTGTGTCTGAGGATCATGAAACACTCTACCATAATATAATCGGTTCCTGGATTTTATTTCCTACCCTTCACCATGAAAAATAAGAAAATAAACACAGGTGTGTCAGGTGACATGCAGCCTCCAGGGCCCCCTTAAGTCTCCTGAGCCTCTTTCCTTAGTATTTGGTTGTTTCTTTCTTAACATATTAGATTGAACTATAAGAAAAAACATATGTTTGAACACTTTTAACCTACAAAAATGGTAGTTTCATATGTTTCAAATTAATACACATGATTAGATAGAAAGAATTCACTTGAAATCATTGTAGCCTTTTATACTGAAACAAATGCCAAGAGAAATAGATTAAAAATAATTTGTAGCTTATTTAACGAGAGAAAACAATTTAGCCACAATCTGTTTTTATATGAATGCTACCTCTATGTTAATACGTTAATATATGCCAATTAAACATTTTTTAAAAATTGCTGACACAGTCAACACATGCAATCTCATGGCTCTGCCATAAGCTAATCTTCAGGATGCCTTTAGAAGAGAAATTACAATATTTGCTGTTAACTAAAGGAAGTTAGAGTAGAGAGGCAAAGTAGCTTTCTCAAAGAAAGGCTCTACAGTCAAAATGTATACATCTAACCACCTCTAGCACCTCTGTTGCTGCCATCTGGTCCAAGCCACCATTGGAAGATTCCAGTGTTCCAAATCAGAACATTTTTGAGAATGACACTGGGATAACAGTCTAAACTGAGCCTTTCCTGGGCAAACCCAGGAATTTTACAGTCGTCCATCTACAAGGTTTTACATAATCTGCAAAACCTCACTCCCTCACACCTCCTCTCCCCTATTCCCCTCCTTGTCCCCTTTCCTATGGCCACATTAGCTGCTTTGGTATTCCTTGAACACACCAAAATACATTTATTTCTCAGGGAAATTGCACTTGCTGTTCCCCCTGTCCGGAATGCTCTTCTCCTGAAAATGTCCATCGTTTGCTCCCTCATATCTTTCGGGTCCATTCACATGTCACCTTTTCAGAGATACCTTCCCTGGATACCATATATAAAACAGAACCATGTCCTCTGCCCTCATACATCCCATATCCCTATTATAATGGTTTAGTTATGAATATATTATATATTCATAAAAATATACATTCAAATATAATGAAATGTATGTGTCTATTGTCTGCCCGCCCTCACCACCATCTATGTAAGCACCATGAAGTAAGGGACCTGATCTGTTTTATTTACTGCTGTAACCCCGTGCTTGGTAGATAGTTGGGTACCATATTGGTTTCACAGGGCTGCTGTAACAAATTACCGCAAACTGGATGGCTTAGAACAACAGAAGTTTATTGTCTCACATTTCTGGAGGACAGAAGTCTGAAATCAAGGTGTCAGCAGGGTCATGCTCCCTCTGAAAGGCTCTCCAGAAGAATCTTTCCTTGCTTCTTTCAGCTTCTGGTGGTTGCCAGCAATCCTTGCATCCCTTGGCTTGTGGCAGCTTAACTCTACTTCTGCCTCCCTTTTCACATGGCTGTCTTCCCTCTGTGTGTCTCTGCATCCCAGTTTCCTTCTTCATACATAGTCCTCCCTTATCCACGGGCGATGTGTTCCAAGACACCCAGCGGAGGCTTGAAACCATGGATAGTATCAAACCCTATATATACTATGTTTTTTCCTATACATACATATCTATGATAAAGTTTAATTTATAAATTAGGCACAGTAAGAGATTAACAGCAATAACTAGTAATAAGATAGAACAATTGTAACAATATGCCATAATAAAAGTTACCATAGATCTTAGCAACTTCAGCATATGATTTTTTTTTCTTTCCTTGTTAAGTTGAGAACTTTCACATTTTCACTTAAAGGAAGCACTTTATGGCTTCTCTTTGGCATATCTGAATGGCCAGCATCACTACTCTTGCATTTTGGGGCCATTATTAAATAAAATAAGAGTGACTTGAACACAAGTACTGCGATACCATGACAATCCATCTGATGACCGAGACGGCTACTAAGTGACGGGACGGGTAGCGTACACAGCATAGATTGTTGGACAAAGGGATGATCCATGTCCCAGGCAGGACAAAGAGGGACAGTACAAGATTTCATCACGCTACTCAGAAGAGCGTGCAATTTAAAACTTATGAATGGTTTATTTCTGGAATTTTCCATTTAGTGTTAGTAACAAATGGCAGAAAGCAAAACCATGGATCAGAGGGGACTGCTATATAAAGAGAATCTTAACTTGATTACGTCTACAAAGACTCTTCTTCCAAATAAGATTACATTCACAGGTAAAGGAAATTAATATTAAAGATATCATTTTGGAGGGCACAACTCAACCCAGTACAGGTACTCAACAAAAGATTTGATGAATGATAAGAAGAAAACTTATGAACCTAAATTAGAATTTTAGAACTTCCTAGCATCTGCTATTGCAGTTTTACACTTGATTACTAGGGACCAAATCCTTTTGTGTCTGCTGAATTTATTAGATGTCCCTATCGGATTCCCTCCATCCTCTCCCCTCTCCCAGCAGCGACTAAGAACACTTGATAAACTATGTCTTTTGTAAAGTTTTTATTGATTTGCAAATATGACATGCATGATACGTGATAGCTCATATTGGTTTCAAAAAGAGATCTTTGGATTTTAAGAATTCCAGAAGAAAATAAATAACTGAAAACTTAATACCTAAAGTATTTAAAATTTGGCTATCTTAAAGGGCTAAAGCCATTATCATAGCTATCTCATAATAAATTATTAGTTTGACTCATATTTTCAGTTGGTGATAAATATATTTCCTGAGCAAAATTACAACAGCTATGCTTCTATTTTTTAGAAAAATCTCATTTGTAACTTCATGATCATTACTTGTTTAATTTTAAAATTTATCATAAAGTTCAAATAGTAAAAAGTCAAAAAATACCTCTCCACATAATGAAGATTTCTTAACATTGCCTTAAAATAATCAAATCTGATGTTTCCCAGAGAAAAGGAGGCACCCCCTATTCTGGCAGATCCTTAAACATAAAGGCATTTCAAAATGTCATTATACTATTTTTAAAGTCATTACGTTAATTTGATAATCTGAGAATAATTCCTGAGAATATGTGAAGCCCTCTAAAGCTCCCCAGCGCCCTCATCTTCTGCATCTAACCATCTTCTACAATACTGAAGAAATGTTTAGGTGTTAAGAAACTTGCTTTGGGGGCCGGCCCCATGGCCGAGTGGTTAAGTTCACACACTCTGCTTTAGCGGCCCAGGGTTTCACCCGTTTGAATCCTGGGCACGGACATGGCACTGCTCGTCAGGCCACACTGAGGTGGTGTCCCACACGCCACAACTAGAAGGACCCACAACTAAAATAGACAACTATGTACCAGGGGGCTTTGGGGAGAAAAAGGAAAAATAAAATCTTTAAAAAAAAAAAAACTTGCTTTGAAAATCTGGTCTGCATCCTTCCTCACAGTAAACCATTATTATTCTGCAAACCTGGCTTGTGGTACAGTTATATCACATTATTTAGTTCCTCACTATACAATTAGCTGTATTTCTTTTACGATGTTTTTGCTTTGGGCTATTTCAAAACTTTTAATTACTGTAAAATTAAAGCAGTTTTCAAATGGCTATTCTTTGATGTGCTGTAGTATTTGATATAAATTATTCTAAGGCTACAAAGTCCAATTTCTTTCCCACTAAAATTTTTTTAATTTAGTGGATTATAGTAGATTAAATTTAAAGGCAAAAATATTAAGTATGAAACTGAAAAGTTTTACAGCTGATATATAACTTTTAAAAACAAAATTACAAAACAAAAGTACACTAGTAGCATGTAAAATTTCAAAAATGGTATGTTTTAAGTGAGATATTATGAGAGGATATAAGAGTAAAAAATTTAAAAGGAAGAAAAAGTTATTGAAGAAAGCATTTTTAATAAGTTAGCATTCACAAGTGGACTACACGCTTTAATGTAAGACAGTTAGTTAAAAATTTACACATAAACACAGACTTAGAGACTCCTTTTAGGCTAATTCCTTTCCAATTTTTTTTTCCTTTTCCTGAAAATGGAACATAACAGTATCTTTCTTATTTATCTCAAGAATTTATACTCAATGAAAGCCTTAAAAAGCTAATTAAGTTTGATCTCCAAGAGATAGAAATAAAGAAATACATTTCTGAAGTTTTTACTTCTGCGGTGGAAAATGTAACATGGTCCATTTTATTTTTCATTTTGTACATTGAAACTGCAAATTCTATTATTTACATCAAATTCCCATCCAATTCATTAAAAAGGCACCAGGAATGGAAAGGAGACGTAATTCTAAATCTCTTTTCCAAGCTGCAGAAGCACACTTCCCTCTACTCAACCTGATCTGTCTCGATAGCAGAAGCTTTTTTCTTGATTTATGCTTAATATCATACCTAGGAAATAAATTAGCATTATTACAATTATGTCAAGAATGCAGAGACATTAAATACCTTGCCTATAGTCAGAAATGAGTCAGAGACACGGCTCACTCTAGCTCCAGCCACTCTGTCTCCCAGGATCCTCTCACTGCATTCAGAATTTGTAATTGTTTCCCCATTATTTGATTAGAAATAGGGACAATGTTGATTCTGGCTTTAATCCAGAAACAAATATATGAGGAAATCAGTTTAACTGGAAGGAAAACTAGGAGAGGAGATTCAAGGACAAATCTCAATACTCTGATATTTTTCCTTTTTTCTCCTATTTGTATGAATTTTTTGTGAAAGATCCAATAATACATCTTTATAAAAATATATCTCTGATTTTTTTCTAACCTCTTCTTTTGCTCGTCCAGAGAATTTTTGTACTTTGATTAACTTTGGCAATGCTCAGTAGACGACCAAATAAAACCAAAGTTCAGTGGAATCTTTGCTTTATAGGTACTAGTGGTAATAAAATTTTACCCATAATATGAATTAAAATGTTATTTCAGCTACAATATGGAGAGAAGCCAAATTTTTCTTAGTTATAAAAAACATGGCAGGTTAATAATTGCCAAGATGAAATGGTGAGTTTGTTTGATGTTTAAGAAAAGCGAAAGTATTCCCTGAGGTACAGGATTGTGAAATATCTCTGTAAGCATCAATTATCCTCTGAACAAGTTGTTCTTTTTGTTTTAAACTTTGGAGGATTTTCTGATGTGTAAGAAGTGACTTGTTAGCTCCATTAATCGTATTGCATAATAGTTTCAGACTGGAAATCCAGGTTCATCTTTCTTTTTTCATTCTGATATAACTCAGCCTGTTTGCTATTTGTTCTGTGATCCCTGTTTATTAACTCAGATTCCGGTAAACTACTGAAGTTGTGTTTTCTTTCTGTTCTTTGTTGTCTTCTGGACTCAAGTATTGCGTGTTTGGCCTTCCTGTGAAACATTTTCCTGTCATTCAGTCAGAAATTTTTAAGTTTATTGAGGTAAAGGTAATCTTGATGACTTAGTGCAGAGAAAAACAGGTCGAAATGATTTACACACAGAGGAGAAGTGAAAATTATACATTCATAATTGCAGTGAATTCAAGCTGCTGACATTAAATTTCAAAAGCAAAAGTATGTATGGGATTACTCGGCTGATTTCATAATTACCTTTGCGGTAAAATAAAATATTTTGAAATACCATCCTATTTTTTCCTCCTTGTATCCCTTTTGCCTCCTCCCCATTCAAGCATTTAATAAGCCCTGCGCTCACCTCCTCAGAGGAGGGACAATAATCACAGTAACAGTAGCTAACACATGTGACACATTTATTACGTGCCAGACACGTTAAATATATTAACTCACTCAGCCACAACAGCCCTCTGAGCAGGTATTGTTACTATTTCCGTTTCACAAATGAGGAAACTGAGGCACAGAGGTTTAAGTAAGTTGCCCAAGGTCACACAGCTAGCAAGAGGTGGAGCCAGGATTCCCAGGTAATCCAGCTCAGACTCTGTGCTCCTCACCATTAAAGATAAACAATGCTGTCTGTCAAGGACTTGGGGGGATCATTGCCTCAGGAGAAACCTGGGAAAAGCTAACCAGACAATAAGGACAGAATCTGGGGTCAGCGTTCTGTGAAGGCATGCCAGAAACTGAACATGCTAGGAAGAATATTATGCCTTTCGTCCATGGATGCATTGTCAGAACACAGTGGAAGAACTGTCATCAGGAAAGGTCAATTTTTGAACTTGTACAATTGTCCCAAAGCTGTGCAATGAGAATGAGACCTGAGATCACCGGCTGAAAGAAGTGAGAGAAAAGAATGATATGAGGAGCAGGTTGGATCCAGGGTTTGAGGAGATGGACCAGAAAGAGAAGGGTTGGGAGGCATGCTTTAAGATACAGCTTCCTAAAGGAGCTTCACTGAAAGAATAGTGGGCTCATTAGGGCTTATGTCATACATTAGCTTGCCTAGAAGTTGGATTTTATGCGCTTACCCTGAGCGATTAGTTTCTGGAGAACTGACTCACACTCAATTTCTCAAGGGATACATAAAACAGAAAGGTGAATATATTAATTTAGAAAAAGAGAATCGCCTGGTAAGATAACCCATGTAGGTATTTGCATAGAGGATTTCCTCAGGGTGGAGAAAATCACCCCAGAGCAAATCAAGCCAAAGGAATTGTTTTTTTTTTTGAGGAAGATTAGCCCTGAGCTAACATCTGCTGCCAATCCTCCTCTTTTTGCTGAGGAAGACTGGCCCTGAGTAACATCCATGCCCATCTTCCTCTACTTTACATGTGGGATGCCTACCACAGGATGGCTTGATAAGCAGTGCCATGTCCACATCCGGGATCGGAACCAGCAAACCCCTAGGCTGCTGAAGCAGAACGTGGGAACTTGACTGCTGCACCACTAGGCTCGCCCCCAAGCCAAAGGAATTTTGGTGAACAAGGAACACGAATAAAGGACACTGGATTGTCTTAGATGCTTTCTTTTTTTTTTTAAAGTAAAGTAATTAGATAGACTTTTCTTTTCTGGTCCAAGAATATTTCCACAGACAACAGTACAGTTGCATCAAGATCAGTTCGCTCTGGCTCCTGGACAGCATTAGCTAAGCACTGACAAATTCTTTCCTTCTCCTTTGCAAGACCTTATTCAGAGAACTCTCAATTAATAGATCAGTTATAGCACAACTGTCATCCAAACCCTCTGACTCTGTATTGTGTCTGCTGGATTGGATACCTGCCCATCACCTGATACCTGACCCAGTCCCGGGGGGAAGGTTTAATTCCAGGCCTTCTTCTCTCCAGTCGGCTCAAGCCTGCAGCAGTGAACACGTCTGTTCTCAGCGCCATCATGAACGAGACTCAGACAACTGATTTACGTCCTTTAGGGTATTCTACCAGCGTATACTTCTGACGGTTACATTCTCCAACCTTGACTCAGTTCAGGGGGATACACCCTTTACAGGACTTATAAAATCCTGTGCTCTGAATACAATGCTCACATTTTAAACTTAAATTGTGACTTTTATCAAAATATTTAGAATAGAACGATCTTATAAGTAGCAGGAAAAGTGGTCATTGAGAATAGTCCTCATTCCAGGCAACTGACAGAGCCTCCTCAGGTGGAGGTAATAAAACTCCTCCCCAAAATATTGGTTTGGATATAAATTCACTCTTATGAGGCATAAGTCTGAGAAATTACTATAGAAAATCAATTTTTTTTTTTTTTTTTTTTTTGCTGAGGAAGATTCACCCTGAGCTAACACCCACTGCCTATCTTCCTCTTTTTGTATGTGAACTGCTACCACAGCATGGCTACTGACAGATGAGTGGTGTAAGTCTGCACCTAGGAACCAAACTTGAGCCACTGAAGTGAAACACGCCAAACTTAACCACTAGGGCGCCAGGGCTAGCCCTAGAAAAGCATTTTAAAATGAGTAAAACTAAAGCAATTTTACTAGTGAATCACCCTAACTATTCCTATTGTCCATGTAAGTAGTGGAACTTTAAATTAATAGATGCTAAATGAATAGCTCCTGAATTAATTAATCCATGTCAGGTCAATATGAATGGTATAGTCAAGTGAGTGGAGACATTTTAAGATTGGGAAACTGCATTGATTTCCAAGCTCTGCCGTGTCTTGTTATACGCTTTTGAGCAAGTCATTTCACCTCTCTGAAACTCAATTTTCTCATCTATAAAAAAGGCTATTGGATCAAATGGTCCCTAAGAGCCACTCCCACCTTTGAGTTCTTCTTTCTTGTTTATTTGCTATTATCTACAAGAAACTTCTCTAGAACATAATATGAAAGAGGATTAAAGTTTTATAACAAAGTTAGGAAAGTTTATGGGTAACTAGGCAACATAGATAAGTATATGTAACAGGAGAGTCAACTAGGTTGAAGCTGGACTTGGATACAGAGTCCTATGGAATTAGGAATGCCCTTCAGATCTCCTCTCGTGCTCTAGCAGACAACGACAAAGCTGCTATAGTTATCAAGGTGGAAAACTCGTATTACTATCTAAAAAATCTAGTTGCTTTGCTCTGTTCCAGGCCAACTCCTGGAGTTCTGGGACCATGCTGGTCTCTTGAAATCCTGCTGTTGCCATCAGGTAGATTTCAAAATAACTGTGATGGTTGTGGGAAAAGGCCACTTTCTCCTTCCCTAACCTAGCCTAGACTTGGACACAAGGCCCTTCCTGAAACCCCAATGAAAGCTTTTAATAGGCTGTGATCTTTCCAAAACTGTTCTGAAATCTTGGGGATAATAGAAGCAAATTATAATGCAGAAAAAAGGAAAATGTAAACAGGGATATTAACTGTGACTATTCTCTTCTCCATAGTGGTCCCCCTTGGGCCTTCTCTCCCCTTATCCATGGACCCAGACTATTGCCATGTTGAAGGGGCTACATAACTTCCCATGCGCAGAAGTGTCCTTTGTCCTATCCTTAACACCTCTCTTGCTTCTTGAGAAGGAATAAAAAAATTCTATCTCCTCAGCCAATAAAGTAATAAGTACTAGTGATGTAGCCAAGCCCACAATAAAGATACTCATTTACAGGACAATGCAGAGAAAATTTGCTTTTTATTTCCACAAAGTTTCCATTTCAGAATATAATCTGGGCTGTGCTTTTATATAATAAAAGCTCATTAAAGTGTCACACACCAAGAAAAAGAAAAGTTTTCTCCCGGAGATAACTATGGTTCTGCCCCTAGCTAAAGAGAAAATTTTAACCAAAATCTGGTTGAATATGGGTAGATTGACCACATATTTTTATTTGTTCTCCCTCCCCAAATCCCTTTAAAATGGCAACAAAGAAATAAAAAGGCATTAACCTACAATGTCAAAGCAATAGGAATGATGCATGAGGAGATAAGCGATTACAATAATGTATCGGAAGAGGTTTCAGAGGAACCACCAAATTCATGGGTGATTGTCAAGGCTAAAAATAGGGGGATTGGTGAAACAATACATAAAGTGTAGTTGGGCCATATAGCTCCTTCCCCATCCTGTGTAACTTCTACCCTCTTTACTCATACACCACCTGCCCCTTGCCTATCTTTTATTCCTAAGAGAATTTGATCTGGAAAGTATTTTCATTTGGGGACATCAGGA